ACTTTCTTATTCTCTCTTCCTCCTGTCTCTAAAATTCAGACTGCAAAGCAAGCAAGACTGTGAGAGCCTCTAGGTGTCTGACTGATCTCTTCCCAGGCAAGCTGAAGAGGTGCTTCAGTCTGAACTCTGGGCTTGGTGTGCAAACAGTAATTGCATTTGTGCAGTGAACCATCCAACGAGTAGTGCAATATTTCAAACCAGAGAGAATTGTCAGCCAAAGGGATATTGAGGTATCGTACGCTGGGGGTGGATTTGGTCAACAGTCCCTCAGAAGGAATGGGTGACCTTTTCAGGAAGAGCTATTGCTGGATACATTTAAAAATAATCAAAGCTGGGGTGATATTCAACTCAATAAACATATATCCAGAGTTTCCGTAATCACATCAGGGCAACACAACCCCTGCACTACATGCATTTATCTGAACTTTTATTTTGTGCAATGCCTTTCAGTGCCGCTTGTTTCTTCTGTATGGCACTTCTTTATGCGTAGAGATGTCTCCCATGTTTATTCTCTTCACTCTGTAAAATGAAGGTTTATGTTTATTACATTCTGAGGGCAAATGGGGAAACTGAATCCTCCCGGAAGCATTGTGGTGTAATGCTGTAGGGAGTCCCTATAAGGTCTGGGCTGCGCAGTACAGTGCATGGTAATACGGAGTGACCACATGGACTGTAACTATTTTGCTAACCTCTGATTAAGGTCAAGGGACCAGCTTTTAAATATAATTTATACAAGGGCTTATGTTGCCTGTCCTTTCCAAACAAAAATCCACCCAAATATACTTCTCTAAAGTAAATAGAACAGCCCAAAGTGTTGAGGCTTAAAGTCTAATTTCTCTAGAAATATTGATAATTTGACAACAAAAACTAATCTGTAATGGGAAATCTTGGCCCAAGAAGGTGATTTGAAGTTGTCTGGGTTTTTTGAGCTTGGAGGTTTTAGCATCCCAGAGGTGCCTCTCCTCATATAGTATTTGTCTGTAGCCTGCCTTGTTAATTTTCTCTATGGGACTGTTGCTTTTACCGGTTGAAAGACAGGCCTGAATCATCAAATTCACACCTGCCAGCTTGGAGTGTTTGGTCCATCTTTCCTTTCTAGAGCATTCAGGTGGGCACTGGATTTTTAATCCTTCCTTGCAGTAATAGTGCTCCAAGCACTGTATGAAGGAGGGTGAGCATTGTGATTCTCCCCATTTTCTGATGGGGTGGGGGCAGTGGAAACAAGGCACCGAAGAGTTAAGTGGCTTGCTAAGGTTAGGTAGGAAATTGGGAGCAGGAATAGAACTTGGGTCTTCTGCCTCCCATTCATGCGAGCACTTGGACCATGCTGTCCAGGTGTGGTGGAATGTCTTCCAGCCCCTAGTGGGTGGTTAATCATGCAAAGTTGCTTGATACATTGCAATAATTACCCTTGCTTGGCACTTCTGTAGGTCCATCCTAACTTCTATTCATCACATTACAGAAGAGCAGCTTTTGCTACAACACTCACACCTATCCTTTCCACTTGAGCTGTCATTCTCAGTGCTCCGTCCCCCTCCTCATAAAACACCTTGGTATAAAGTATACCCTGTCCGGTGACAGATCAATTATTGATTCTGACAATTTCTGGGGCAAAGTGCTGAACTACCTCTTCATGCCCCACAGTAAAGCCTTTGATGGTCTTTAGAGTCCTCTACAGTCTCCATCTGCATAGTCAGTGTGTGCCATGGGAAAGGGCTGTCTCCTGTTTGCCCCAAATGAGGGCGTTTTTGAGTTCTTTGAAAGAAGGAAAAAAGCCATTCTCCTTCTGAAGCCTCTAGCAACACATTTGAGGTTCACTGACTCTTGCGTTAATCCATAGACGCGAGGAGAAGAAAAGCTGATAATCCAGTTTGGCTTTCCAGAGCATTAATGGTCTAACCTAAAAGAGCCTTGCTCTTTCCCCATCCCCCACCGCCCCCACCCCTTGAATCTTGGCTTCCTTGAGTCAAAGTCAAAACATGGCCATTGAGCGAAACTCTTATTACTGGAGCTCCTGCACCAATCCAGCCAGCTGCGGGAATAGATATTCAAATACACAAGAGCAGTTAGGCTCCCGCTCAGATTGACTTTCAATAGCAGTTAAGCACCTAATGCCCAGCTGTCTTTTGTGCCTCTGAAAATCTGTCCCATGAATGACAACTAAAAGTGTTGCACAAGAAATTTCTCTGACTCTGGATGGCCTGGATGTTACAGGGATACAGGTGTCTTTACTTCTGCTTTGGGTGCAACCTTTGAAGATTTTTTTTCTTAACTTGGAAAGAATCATATCTTTGTTCCACTGCTTATCAAAAAGCCAAAAAAGAATTTCCAAAATAATATTGCTGATAAATTCACATTAAGTTTGTTCCAGATTCTTTTTTATTTATTTATTTAATTTATTCTTATTTATTTATTTATTCTCTCCTTTCCAACTGCACCAAAATATTCCTCATTTCTTTCTTCTTTACAAACTTTGCTATAAAGTGCAGTGCATGCTGGAGTACCTGGTGTGCTATCAGACAAGTTAAGGACTGCGAATCAGTCTTGCCTCTAAACTTCCATGCATTTTATGCCAGAAACTTATAGCAGCTTAATGTTTTCTTCTGATCTTGCTCTAAATTATGGGAGTGAGTTTAGCTGAGACGTGCCGACATTTGGGAATAGTTTTAGTATTGCAAACCTAGGGGTGGTTCTGTTCTACTCCACTTATCACCGTGGTTCTCTGATGTGGTTTCTCTTCTACCCAAATCTGCAGACATCAGGGAGGGATGGATAAATGTTTGTCTCCTAAGCTTTAATTACGTATGTTAAATAGTATTGGACCACTAGACTTTAGGCTCCAAACTTGCAAATACCTAAGCAACATGAGACATTTTACTGGGACTGCTCACATGCTAAAAGTTGACTAATTTGTGTAAGTGTTTGCAGGATCTGGGTTCTAGACTTGAAGTGCTTTTTGGGCAAGGACTGTCTTCACTCTGGGCCTCGTGCAGTACTGGGCATTCAGTCAACATTTTAATATTTTCACCCTAGCTTTAAAGTGTTCCACGAACTCCTATTTTTCAAATCCACATTAAAACACATGTGGGGTTTTGATTTTTCTTACTGCTTTTTCTTTGTTTTCTATCCTGTATAGGTTCTTATAGGTGCTTGTCACTGTAGTATCTGAGTGCCTTCCAATCAGGGCATCAAGCAACATGGCTAACATCTGTCCTGTGTTTTGTCCTCTCCTCCTCTCCCCAGGCGGAAAAGAGCGTGCAGTTGAGGTTTTTTGGGTTGTTTTTGTTTTTTATGGTTTGGATGTTTTTAAAATCTATATTACACACCTGGCTCTGTTTGTTAGAGAAGGCAGGTCAAGGAAAAGTGCGTGGCACAGAGTAGAAGGACCGGTTTGGATCCTTAGTCCCCGGGACAGTTCAGGCTACAGTGGCTGGCTCTGTCTCCTGCACAAATGAGCTTTATTTACCCCAATGGTAGAAAGTTCCAGTGCGCTTGAGGAGCGGAGCTGTCGACCACAATCTTCATCCTGGAGCTTTAGTTGATCTTTTAGATACCCTGAGCCAAGGCCATTGAGCACCTTGAACTTGATTAAATATTCTCGGAGAAGCCAGCTTGTGCTGCTTTTTGCTATCTGACTGTCACAGCTGTAAGCAGACTAAGTTTAATGATCCTCCCTTGAATAGTTCAGCAGCAGATGGGAGTGCTTTATTGTCTGCTGGAGTTCAGAGCTTGAAGCTGTAACCAGAGCATTCAAAGAAAGGCAACTGCATCTTTATCTTCAATTTTTTTTTTTAAAGTACTAACCCAGAAGCTGGCACATTAGAAACTCACCCCCTCGCAGACTTAGCCACTGCTTCGTATTGCTGGTTTTTATTAATAAATCTGCCTCATTTTTATCTACTAACTTACCTTAACATTGGGCTCAGGTGGCCCGTTAACATGAAATGAGCCTGAGAATATTGGCATCTAACTCACAGCAGTGCAGAGAGTGATGCATGTTGGGATTTTTAAAAAAGTCTTATGGAAGTATATGATGCCTAATGAGACCGAGCATGGTGGCAGTATTAATACTGTGGTGAGCTGCAAACAATTACCAAGCTCTAGTAATAATCACTTGAGCAGCAAACTGACTCACGGCTTCCGCTGTTCAGTTCCTAATGATGGGATGCAGGAGGTAGCAATAGAGCAAAGTTGGTTTGTTGCTTCTTCGAAGAACAGCACATTTAGGGAGGTGGCGGGAACTGTTTTGGAATGCTTTGTTCAGCTGTGCGTCTTTCTGGCTATCGTACAAGGCACTTAGCATTACACAGAAGATAACTGCCGACTATTTTATAAGAATGTAGCCTCTGAGGCTGCCTTCATCTTAGCAGATGGCCCTTTTTAAAAATAAATAAATAAATTGAATCCAGTGTGTGTTTCTAATAACCTTTGTGCTGTTAATTTTTAATGCCTCCTCTCTATAGTGAAAAACAGTTTAGTTCTAAAGCAATTTGTACACTAAGGACTTTTGTGAATTATTTATTGGGTTCCAGAATATTTGCTATATTCTGAGTGGCCAAGTTGGGTAATTAAATTTTTTCCCCTTTAGTTAATTGGGCTCTGGGTAGGCAGGATGCTAATTCAGCCACTTCCCAGGAAGCAAATTTATTTCTAACTGGGGATGCTGCTGCCCAAAACTTCTGACTTTGCAGTGAGAAATGGGGAGTGGGGGGTTATCTTTTTGCCAGAGAGGCAATTGGAAGTTTAAAGGTCAGCTCTCAGCTGGTTGTTGTAAATCTGTGTAGCTCCACTGGTGGTAACAGTTATGTCAATTTTATATCTGCTGATCATTTGACCTAAAGGTTGAAATTCCCCCCTATGCAGAGAGTCAGCAGGAGGCCTAGACATCATAAAAGTCCAACTTAAGTGGTGCCTAGACCTTGTGCTGACCTGCGCTGGGGTGGATTCCACCTTAGACATGTAGGTGGAGCTTTTCAAAGGCACGGCTGGGAGCTGTCGGCCAGAAGGGATCCCTGTGAACATCTGGTCTGACTTCCTGTGCTACCGAGGCCAAAGAACCTCCCCCTTTGACTTCCTGGGGCAGTCGAGTGCCTAACTGCACGTTGTGCCTTTCAGTCTTGTGTCTAACTCAGGCTGTCTTTTATTTCTCTCTCCAGTGGAAAGATGTATGAGCTCCATGCAAGGTGGTACCCAGATGATCAAACTCCGGGGCAGTTCCAAAGGGCTAGTCCGGTTCTATTACCTCGATGAGCACAAGTCGTGTATTCGCTGGAGACCGTCGCGGAAGAATGAGAAAGCCAAAAGTAAGTGCCGGCCACCGGGCCTTTCTGCTGAGAATGAGAGGTTTGCATTGGTACTGAACAGCCGACATGAGGGGTTCAGTAACATGGAAGATGACCAAGGCAAATGCTGTGGCTAGATTGGTAGGACTATGCCTGACTTGTATGAATGTTAATAACACTTCTGCTGGTTGAGGGCTAAAATAACCCGACAGACTTGGAGATGAGCTCCAAGCAAGTCCTGTGTGAATAACCCCAGATTTAGGAGTGTCTGCAGTTGGAGGTTTGGGTTTTCACTAAAAACGTCTGTGGGAGAGGGAAGGGCTATTCCCCTCCACATCCATGCCCCATGCAGCACAGCTAGCTAGCTGTATTTATGGTTGAGGCAACATTCCTCTGAAGCACCTGCTAGACGTCATTGCTGGAGGCAGGATCCGAGGTCCCATGGACCAGTTGTCTGATGGGTTGAGGCAGCTCTTGTAGAGTTTATCATGCACCAGAAAGGTAGGGATTATTGGTTGCAAATAAAGATCCCCAATCCTGCAACAAAATCCCATTAGAGTCCATCAGGATCCATTCAGACACAGGGATCTGCCCTCGCGGATCCCGCTGTGTGTTCTGGCTTGAAGGGCTGATACGTCTCTGCATTCAGCTACAGGTTGTGTTGTATTACAGTCCTGCGGAAAGCCCCCTCACTGAAATCGGGGCTCCGTTGTGTGAGATGCTGGAGAAAAAGATAGTGAGAGGCTCCGTGCCACAGGGGGCTTGCAATTGAAATTGACAAGACAAAGGTTGGGAAGGGAAGCACAGGGGACTTGCCCAAGGTCTCCCAGCTGGTCAGTGCAGAGTCAGTAACCGAGCCCAATTCTCCTGAGTCCTGGGCCAGTGCCCTACCCACTGGACTACGCTGCATCTCATTTTTGGCCCCACCCCATCTCCCAGTGGCCTAAGGATAAGTTCCTGTCGGGACTTTCGTTTATTAACGGGGCCGCTTTGTAATATTTTCCCCAAATATGTGTGTGTGGGGGGGGTTTTTTTCCGTGTCTCTTTTCACCAGATGGTGACTGATCCACTCCAATGAAAGCATAAATAATTGAAAAGCAATGATTGCTTCACAGACACGAGTTGTAACCTGCAAGAAAACAGGGACGTCAATTATTTGTTTAACAAGAGCTGCCTAACGAGATGTGTGAAACTGTACTGGCAAGGAAATGCTGCAGAGAGGTGTCTGACAACCACCATGTCGAGGGGAGGAGCAGGGAGGTGGAGAGCTTGGGGACCAAATTAACCTTATTGTTTCCCCTTTCATAACTACAGATACGAATGTAAATGTTAGCACAATCTACATCTCTGCGTGTGACCTGTTTGTTGTCATGTAAAGATGCACAGGGAGGACACCTAGTCTGAGAGAGGTGCTGGCATAGTGGTTAGGGACATAGCGGATTAGGACGTAGAAGATCTACGTTCAGTTCCTGGCTCTGTAATAAACTTGCTTTCTGACCTCTGACAAGTCATTTGATCTCTCTGTGTTTCAGGTTTCCTATCTGTGAAATGGGAAAAATAATACTTCCTTTGTCTGTTTTAGCATAGATTTTTCAAAAGTGCCCACCATCCCTGGGTGAGAACAATGGGAGGTTGATGAGCATTTGAAAATGCGGCCCCTTTCCAGTTTTGACTAGCGTACCGAGCCACCTAGATAACGTCCAACGTGTTAAATTTTTGCCCCATTTTGCAAAATGACTGCATGTAAATAGACTGCTCTGGAATATTAAAGGCTGTGATTGGCCTTTATGTTGTCTTTGACCTGAGTTGTGCTGTCAGCAAGCACAGAGAGCTCATAAACCGGATGTTAAGTCTTTTTGCATTTCCTGTTTTGACATTTTGTTTTGTCTAATGCTATTTGAGCTCTGTGTGTGTCTGTGACTGTTCCATACCCCCTTGCTAAATAACAGTAAGCCCAGAGGGCAGTGATATAACAAAACACAAATTCAGTGTTTTCTGCTTAGTTTAATTTCAAATGAAGAAATTCTGCCTGGGACTGGAGTCTGTGTTGGATTTTAAATGTTCTCCTTATGTCAGCTTGAGCTAAACTGCTTTCCCCCTAGAAACAGTTAATGGTGCAGTTTGGATTTTTGCCCTGCTACAACACTTTTCCTTTTTTAAATCTTTTAAACTTCTGGCACGTGTAGATCTGTGTAATGTATACTCTCTAGCTGCACAGTACACATACCATAGCAAACAGATGTCTGTTTCTAGGGAGAGCCACGCTTCTTGTAATCTCAGGAGGACACTGTAATCTGCAAAATTACATTCTGTACTGGGGTTTATTTTATTGTTAAAATTTCTCTTCTTGACACTCCGGATCTAGGATCTTTAGAAGGGAAACAAATTGTTCAAATAATTATCGGATGTGCTGGCTCTGAGTGCATGTGGATGCTAGACACTGTTTCATTAAATGTAAGGGCATTCTATAGCATTTTACGATTTGTATATTCAAGGGGAAGAGGATGCGGGTTGACAAACGTTACCAATATCTTGGTAATTTACTCCCAAACCTAGATGTAGGAAGGAATCTGGTAGCTAGAGATGTTAACGATCAGTTGGCTCAAGTCCTGCAAAGGCAAGTATTCATTCCTGAATAAATGACACTAGGATATAGGAAAGGCAGTGTGGTTCAGTGGATAGTCTGAGAGTCAGGGTACCTGGGTTCTGATCCTGGCTCTACCACTGAGCTATTGTGTGACCTGGGCAAATTACTTCACCTCTCTGTTCCTCTGTTTTGTCTCCCCTTGCCTATCTTGCTTATTTAGATTATAAGCTCCTCAGTGCAGAGACCATCTCGCTGTGTATGTACAGTGCCTAGCAAAATGGATCTCAGTTGAGGGCTCTAAGCACTATCATTATTATAGATGTTCTACTGATACTGTGTTTAATCTTAGCCAAGAAGATTTACAGGATGCTTCACAACAGACTAGGATGTGCCTCTTCTATTGCTGCCTGTGTCCCTTGTTGGCTGAGCTTGCAAAGGCCTTAAACCCAACTCAGCGGCATTTCTCTGTTTATAATATTAGAGAGACAGGGCGGGTGAGGTAATATCTTTTATTGGACCAACTTCTGTTGGTGAACGAGACAGGCTTTCAAGCCCCACGGAGCTCTTCTTCGGGTCTGGGAAAGGTCCTCCCAGCGTCACGGCAAAATGCCAGGGGGAACAGATTGTTCAGTGTTTGCATTTTCCTGTGACACTGAGAGGACCTTTCCCAGACCTGAAGAAGAGCTCTGGGCTTGTCTACACTCACAGCGCTGCAGCTGAACCGGTGGAGCTGCGCCGCTGTAGCACTTAGTGAAGACACTACGACGCGGATGGGATTGCTTCTCCCTTCGGCGTAGGCCCTGCCTCTTGGGGAGGTGAAGCCCTCCTGCCGACTTAGTGATCCATTCCAAACCTCACGGCATATTCTAGGTATCAGTGGCTAGAACCCGACTGATCTGGAGAAAGGGGGACAGTAGGACACCTCAGCCAGCTCTTGCCACAGCCTCAAGCATCTCTGCAATTGTTTTTGTAGATCAAACAACTGGTTGATGGGTTCCCATTAATGACCCCCAACATAACAAGACCCCATCTCCTCTCTGCTCATCCTTCCCTAGAGGTCAACATGCTGACACCCTAAATGACTTAGGTCAGAATGCGGTGTAACTGCCCCTATATTTCCCTTCAGTGGCCCAGTAAAGGCACCCACTCATAGGCTTCCAGCTCCCCTGGCCATCACTTCTCTCTTGGGTGGAGACCCACATCTCTCCCTTCTGACTGGGGTATCTCCAGGCTGAGCTGTTCCCGGCCTGCACTGTGGTGTTCCCCACAGAGAACTGCCTGCTTTTTCTCCAGAGACGGTCAGCAGTATGACGTGCCCACAGCTATAGATACCACACAGCTCTCTTTATGCAAGCCTGTTTTATTCTTAAGGTAAAAGCACTACAGAGAAGACACATTAAAATAATAAAAGAAGCTACAGGCATGCTAGAGATCACCCCACCCCTAATACGGGGTCTGGCAGGAGCAGTCTTTCAGCACTCCATCCACAGGGTTTCCTTTGTGGTCACAAGTTCATCACAGCTTCAGTTCCGAATGAGTACACAGTTTTATGAGGCCTCAGTAGGCCCACTCCTTCCAACCATTCCCTGAGAACTGTGGCGCTCT